TCATTTTGCGACTGGCTTTTTTTTTTTAAGCTTTCACAGTTAAATTTCTATTTAAGACACGAACTCAGTCTAGGCCGGGGTTGATGAGACAGGCGGCCAATGTTTCGTCTGCCCAAATAGAAATGAGATTATTTGGGATTTTATTGTTTATTAATTAATTGCTCTGTAATAATGCTAAAGCTCTTTTTGAGGATCAATTTTAATATTTCATATTACTAGGATCCACATGAATTATAAACCAACGAATTTGTTACATTTACTATATATATATATATATATATATATATATATATATATATATATATATATATATGTTTGTGTGTGTATTTATATAGATAGATAGATAGATAGATAGATAGATAGATGCAGTTGAATATACATGATATCATATTCTTTAAGAGTTCATCAGAATAGTGTTGTTTACGTTGATGCAACGACATGCGAGTCCTCTCGTCTTCGTGTGCATATGTAGTCACATCAATATGTATATACATATATATATATATATATATATATATATATACATCATATATATATATATATATATGTGTGTGTGTGTGTATGTATGTATGTATTCCTTATTTTAAAGGCACACGCGTAAGCGTCAGTAGAGAACCAATAGTGTGTTTATCGTCAACCACACGTCCATATATCCTTCTACTTAACCGCCTATACAAACAGTACATACAAGAACAGATTCATACACACACACACACACACATATATATACACACACACACACACACTTACTTACGTACACGCATACGCATGTACACCTAATCTGTCTTGGATTGGTGAACTTGCAAAAGACACCAATGAGACTTAATGAGAAGGAAACTGAACAAAAGAAAAACCCGACCAAATCCACTGGAGACGGGTAAGGGTTCTTTTTTCCCGCCCACAATACCCCAAGCAATTTTTTGACCCCACAACGAATATTTCTGTTCCTTTGCACACGAATAATTTTCATCACCTGCTAAATAAAAATTTATTAAACAATAAAATAACAAATCAGGTTCGAAGCTATATATATATATATATATATATATATATATATATATATATATATATATATATAAGTTATGAAGAACTTGGTAAACCGAATTGGTAAATCCAAGGAGGATGAAATCCTGAGAGCTCAATGTGAAGAACAGAGCTAATATTTAATGAAAAACAGACCACTTTAAGGTACCATTACAATAAATTATATATATAATAAATATAATATATATAATAAAATGCTTTTTCAATTTGTAGGTCTGATGATTTTGATCGTGATTACGATTCCAGTGTAATAAAATATAACTATGGAATATTAGTGTTTGAGCCTCATATTATTATATTATATTCTTACTCTGTCCGGGACATTGAGTTCTACGTGGATTCTATCCTCTTGGGAATACATATATATATATATATATATATATATATATATAAATGTAAATGAACTAAGAGTAAGATTTCAGCGTTCAGAACATTAATTTAAAACAGAGCTCAAAACAAAAGTAGAGCTGTAATAAATAAATACTCATTTCACCCCAAGCAAGGTTATAAAGTTACTAAGATGCAATGGGTTACTGAAAGAATATAAGGAAAAGAAAAACGTCATTAAGCAGCGAGTACAATAAAAGAACGGAATTTAAGAAGACAGAAGTTAATAATTGATATTGCATTGAAACATTTGAAGATCAAAGGCAACAGACTGACTAACAAGTATTAGGTTAGGGAGTGTGAAAGAATAAAAGAATATTAATATGGACCAATAATAATAAAAGAACAGAATTTAAGATGGCAAAAATAACGATTGACATTGCATTTAACTTTTTGAAGATCATACTTTACTAGAAAGCAAGATGCCGGAAATGATTTTCGATAGAATGAAGTGTGAGAAAAGAAACTGTTAGCATAGAACTTATGGATGTCTCTCGCCATTTCAAGTCTAAAATGATGAGATCTCGCCCCCAATCTAGTACTGCACTTAACATCATGAAGTCTAGGTACCATAGAGGAAAGTTCATCACACTAATTCACATGAAAGGAGTGATAGAAAAGGCACAGTGAAGCCACGTTTCAGTGGTGGAAATGAGACTGAAACGGAGATGGCAAGTCAGAACCAACGATATTGCAAATTATTCCTTGAATTTTACCTCTAAATATATAGCAGGAGCACCAGACCATATCTCTCAGTAATATTCAAAGCACGGATGAATGATAGATTTATGAATATGTCAGATAGATTCTAGCAAGAAAAAGATATCTCTGGTACGATACAGCGGAACAACTTTTCAGCAATACACATAGCAATTGATTCAATATAATCTTTCCACTTCATAATTGCAGTAAACGTTAACCCGAGAAGTTAGAACAAGTCACTCTCCATGAGGTTAGCATTAGACATTCTGAAGGCAGGACGGGTTCTCTCAGAGGACTAATAAACAGTAGTTTCCTTTTCGGAAGGCGTTAAAATTATCAAGGCATTCATTTAACCAGCTAACGACAGAATGTAGCAACGTTCATATTTAGTATGTGAACGCGTTTGAGTAGACATTTCTGTTTCTTTTTTCTACAGCGAACTTAATATCTACCAGCCTACTAATTGGAAGTCTTGCTGAAGGAAATTGAACATCTATTCTTGTTATAATCCTTAAAAATTATCATATATATATATATATATATATATATATATATATATGTGTGTGTGTGTGTGTGTGTGTGTGTGTGTGTGTGTGTGTGTTTGTGTGTGTACCATACTATTAATCTACGAAATACTATTACATTACAAGTTTCAATTACCCTCTTAACGGAATACATATTTCTCGTTGGAACATTTCAGAAGTATATACTATTATTTCTTATTACTAAGGTAACTAAAAATAATATCGGATTTAAAAATATTACTTACTTTTACAGACACATACACACCCATATATATATATATATATATATATATATATATATATATATATATATGAGAGAGCAAGATCTAAAAGGTCAGTCAATCTAACAGTGATCTCATCTCACGGTCCTCACTCTTGCTCCATATGTGGCCTCCTTTGTAAATTACAAGCGGGTCTTCAATGCCACTTAAGATTATCGCATAAACTTTCATAACTGAACCAATAAGCTGGCAGTTCCTTATACGTCGAAACCGAAGCAGTTAATAATATATATATATATATATATAATTATTTATATATTATATGCGCGGTACTTATTAGAAAGCGCTCAATATCAGAGATAGAGCTAACATATTTGGTTGGATTGATGTGAGTTTGTGACCCTGGGTTTCACGTTTTTGCGATCGTCAGACAAACTGATTAATTTTTTTAAAATTTTGGTTTATGTAGATTGCGTGAATTGGTGTTATTATGGAAGTGGAGGGGGTTGTCGTCGTGATGTCATCGTGCTAACGCAAACATAGATGCATGTCCGTATATATACACTATATTTATTGTTTTATTTTGCTCAATTATTTTTATTCAATATTTTATCCAATATATAATTTTAAATTTAACTTTAGATTTAATATTTAAAAATTATATTTAATAATAATTTATACTTATTTTTTAATATTTAATTTTATTTATATATATTTTTTTATATTAAAAAATTAAATATATAATTTAATTTTTTATATTTAATAATTTATTTATATCTACATTTATTAAATGGTTTTATTCTTTTAATCTATATTTAATAATTCATTTATATTTCACTTATACATTGTTTTAATTTTTACTTAGCTATTGGTTTATTATCTATTTATTTAAATTTAATATATAATATTTTTTATAACTTTAATTAATAAATTGACTTTAATAATTATTTCATTATTATTTTAATTATCATATTATATGTATTATTATTTGTATATTACTTATTTTATATGTTACCTCTTCCTTTAAGTTTTTTTTCATAAAAATAATTATAAAAAAATCTCTAATTTTTAATTTTTCTTTAAGTAATTTTCCTTATAGAAACTAGATGTTAATATTTTAAAACATACGCCAAGGTTATTTTAACTGGTGTCTGAATCTTAACACTCCCCTTCTGACACCATGAAACCTGGTTTAAGCTTTGTCAAGATGATTAGCTGCGTCTAAGGCCAGCATTCCAAACCCTGTCCAATGCCTTCGAATTATCTAGAACCACAGCCCGAGCTTTGTCATTCTTAGCTTGATAGACAAATTCAGTGATGGCTGTTAACATGTCGGCTTTAAACCTGGCGAAACAGAATCCATATTGTTTGTCAGAAAGGAAATCGTGCAACGTATGTGTAACCAATTCGGTATTGATTAGAGCCGTGAGTACGTTGCCGAAAAAAAGATAAAGGACTAATAGGGCGATCATTTGAGATGTCAGAAGACTTAATATCAGTATTTCAATGACAAAACATGGAACCTTTTCAACATCTAGTATTATATTTTAGATTAATGCAAAAGTTCCGAGTGGTATTTTTATGCATCCTGTTGGAAAAATCCTTGAAATGCCGTTGAAGTTTTTTTTTTTTTTCATTCTTTAATCTTTGTATAATGTAGTAAGTCATCTACAAACCCCTAAAAAAATGAATTGTAGGAAAAATGGATTCAATGAAGCTTTATAGCAAAAAAAAAGACAGACTTTGAAACATTTTCTCTTGTCCCGAGATAAAAAATAATGCTATATTCGAAAAGTTAAGCAATGACAATGAAAAATAGGCTTTATCACCAGCGTTCAAAACGAAGAAACATCTAAATTAGACGTAAGATTCAACAATAAGATCTAATTGGGGCCTCCACTAGAAATTATTCTGTTTTTATTTACTGGGAGCCAAAGTTTGTTTCTTATAAATGGCCGTAACTCGGACTTGGTATTTTAATGAGCAACACTGTAATGTTTGTATGACGCATTGGTATAGAAACGATATTTTCCTGGACAGAGAAGATGACTGGTTATTTTTGCTGTTTGGTTTGGTTTAGTTTACGCTATATCAACCTCAATGGGTTATTTAATGCCGACAATTTTTTTTTTATTGCTGGTAATAATATTTTTTTTCAAAAAATCTGAACCTGGGGAAATAAAATATAATCAGTGAAACAATTACGGTTGTCAGTTTTCTAATTTATATATATATATATATATATATATATATATATATATATATATATATATATATATATATACAGGCAATGTGTAAATAGCAGGACAGACTGGGTTCTGTAGCATTGGATAGCAACTGTTCGAGGAGAAGGACAACTCTGAATTCAAAAATCAGAAGGTTTGTTTGGGGACCTTGTGACACATAGTGCACAATGTCTCTGTATTCGACTCATCAAAAAGTCTCAACCAACCAAAACAACCAAATTTATTACGAATATAGCAGCAACATATTAAAGTGCATCTAATATTTAATGCCATTTTACATTTGTACCAATTTCCGCTCAGCTTGTTTTGCAAAAAAATATCAACAACGTATAAATTTTTAAATTCTAAAATAACAGAGATCGCGCGTGTTTTTTTTTTAAATCATTATCACAACGGAATCTATCTCATTCTTTTCCTATCTCAGTCTATCTATCTATGTATCTATCTTATTTTGTTCATATCTATCTATCTATCTCATTCTTTTCATGTCTATCCATCTATTTCATTCTTTTCATATCTATCTCTTCATATATATATATATATATATATATATATATATATATATATATATATATATATATATATATATATATACATTCAGTTCATTTCTACTTATCTTTTATAGTTATATTACTACTCGATCATTTTCTTCCTTTACAAAAAAATTTACATACACACACACATATATATATATATATATATATATATATATATATATATATATATATATATATATATATATATATATACATTTTTTTTGCATATATATGATTTATATATGCGCGGTACTTATTGGAAAGCGCTCAAAGTCAGTGGTAGAGCTAACATATTTAGATAGATCGATGTGCTTGTGACCCTGATTTTCACGTCCTTAGCGATCTTTAGACAAACTCTTCGTTGATTGACTGTCGATAAGAAAGGACATGAAACCCCGAGTCACAAACTCATCAATCAACTACATATATATATATATATATATATATATATATATATATATATATATATATATATATAATTAGGTTGTAAATTTCAACATCAGTGTTAATCTGTGTACATGTTGGTGGGTGGATCCGATTGGTATTTACGTGCGTTTTGAAATTGCTGAAGTGCCTTTGGTAATAGGTTGGTATCCTGTAACATTGTCTTTGTTAGAATATATTCGACAGCAATTAGTCAGTTATTAAAATATGGGCTCGAAACTCATCCAGTCAGGCGCCTAATGAAGGAGGAGACAAATTAAGCGAGGTGGAACATTTTGGAGAGGCCCTCGAGGTGTTGTGGGTAAAAGGGAAGTAGAGGCCGGGCTCGTTGAGCTACCAGTATACTGAGAGGAGGGAGAGTAAGGAGCTGGTGAAGAGCAAGAATGGGAGGGCAGACATGAAAGTCGAATCAGAAAAACAGCGTATGACAAGGCAAGATGCGTACAGAAACGGAAATCCAGAGACTATGCAATATCTGATCGACTGAGAGATATCTGTACTTTTTTGCTAAGTAGCGTCTCACTTTACGGACGATTATGGCTCTCTACAACGTCCTCTCCTTTATAGCTATTAATTTTTGTCTTTTTACTATCCCTCATGTTCTATGTTCTTTAGTTTATTTACGCAAGCTCATTAGATCCGTTATTCGCTATTTCTCTCTGTCCTTGTGGGTTTCTAATTTTCTAGACCTTCTTTCCTCGTCATACGTTCTAGAAAATTTCAACTGTCTTCAAATCACTCGATGAATGTTATTATCCTTGTTTTTAATACTTATAAACTGTATAATGTCTTTCTTTAATATTAGGTTGGTGCAAAAATAATGTCGTTTTTTGACGTTAAGTTGAACGTCAAAAAACATTATTTTTGCACCAATCTAATAGTACTTTCAACTGTCAGTCATCCTCAGGCATGGAAATTCTTTTGTTTTCTTGTAAAATCCAGGTAGTATCCGAGACGAAAAAATTAAATGCGAATCGAAATATGTTTTTTTTTTTAAAATGTGTTATTGTTAACGGATACAAACTTTTGGAACGTGCAGTCGCAATGCTAAGGTTGAATTTTTTTGAAAATGTAAGAGAGTGCGTTTTTTTACTAATATGGCAATTTGAGAATTAATTTATTTATTTATTTTTTTTTGTAGGAGTTTATCAGTCAATGTGGCATGAACTAAATTGTTCAATAAATAGAGTAATGTCGCAGTTGTTATCCCAAAAATTTGCACGTCGGATCGGTTCTTTTAAATCAAATATGTGGTGAAGTTCAATTTATATTACAATGAATCATTCATACAAAAAGTAGATTAGTAAAGTTAATGATATAAAATGGCGAAATCCTTTCGCAAACAAAATTTTAAAGTTGCATTATCCTATAAATCACTTTAAAATTTTGTTTTTGTTTCGCTATTTTATATCATTAACTTTACTAATCTACTTTTGTATGAATGATTTTTGTATATAATATTTTATATATATATATATATATATATATATATATATATATATATTCTTAATCATTTCACCATAAGCAAGATAATATAGCGACTAAGACAAAACAGTGTTATAGAATAAGGTGAGGGTAAATATTAGTAAGGAGTGAAAACAATAAAAGAAGAGGAATTAAGAAGACTGAAGATAACGATTGACATTGCATTTAAATTATTGAAATTCAAAGTTGACCAGATAGCAAGAAGCCGGAAAAGAGAATTGTGTGAGAAGAAACTGTGTCTATATCTCTTAGATGAGGTATTGGGATTATTTACATTATTTACATTATTCGGACTGTTATGCTCATCTTCATTGCCATATTCACAACGTTTCGGCAGTTGTACGCTCCGGCCTTCTTCAGGTTACTGGAATTTCGAACCGGACCGTTTATTTCGCCCACCGGTGTAGATTGTTCTAGTTCCACGTGCCATGCCTCTTCCACATGCCTCAGTTATTTCCCTTGAACTCAACTCTCCAAGTTTTTTTTTTGGCTCACCACTGCTGAACTCACAACTCTTTAGGTCTAGTCACTGCATCTAACCAACGTCTTTATCGAATGGGCCATGAGTCCATGAGTTAAAGAGAAATAACTGAGACAACCGGAAGAGGCATGGCACGTGGAAGGAAGACAATCTACCCAGGTGGACGAAATAAAGGGTTCGGTTTGAAATTCCAATCACCTGAAGAGGGCTGGAGGTACAACGGCTGAAACTTTGCGAATACGGCAATGAAGGCGAAGATGACAGCCCGAATAATGTAAATATTGAGAAAGAAACTGCTAACCTGGTGACATCTAGACATTTCATCTGCAAAATGATGAGATGACATTTAACCTCCAATCTAGTACTGCGCTTAAATTCATAAAAGCTTAGATACGATTCCTCTGATCAATATATATATATATATATATATATATATATATATATATATATATATATATATATATAAAGATAATCCTAAGAGTTAGGAAAACCTACCTACGTTTCACCTAAATGGATCTTCAGGGAAGCTGGCTGAAAAGGAACATTATGGAACAGTATTTGATAAAAATATTCAATAGTGTTCCATGATGTTCCTTTTCAGCCGAAGATCCGTTTAGGTGAAGCCTACGTAGGTTTGAGGGGGAGGGAAGAAGGAAGATATATTAGGTAGATTGACTAAACGTTTATTTATGCCCAACCCTGGACATTATTGGCATGACAGGACATCTTTTTATTTTCTTCTTTCAATATAAGCATTTGCAATTGTCTCTGCACAGAGAAAGATGGCCTGGTTTTTAAGACTCTTGGCCATGATATTCTTTTCAAGAATTCTCCATGAATTATCAATGCCGAAATATTTCACACCTATCGACCGATCGCAAATATTTGAATAACTCACCAGTATGCACCCAAATTACAACTTTAAAAAAAAATGTATTTTTATAGTTGGCAAAATTGATATGCTGGGAAAATTACAAAATGCGGTACTGTACACTTTTCAAATGAAAAGGGAATAAAAAATATTTTGATGTTTTTTTTTGGTTTTTTTTTTATCGTAAATGTTGAAGTCATTTTTACGCCCCCCCCCCCCGAAAGATCAGAAACATCGCTTGGACTAAAAGAAAAAAAATGAAGCCGCTCCGGTGTGATTCGAACTTGCATTCCTTATTTTTTAAATAAACTGATACCTTTCCCGTTACCTCACCATTTTACAACCGACGTTTCTCCAACCCCAATAAACATTATCGTTTTTATTCCCCACCCACTAAAACCACCAGTTTCTTTCTTTCTTTCTTTCTTTCTTTCTTTCTTTCTTTCTTTCTTTCTTTCTTTCTTTCTTTCTTTCTTTCTTTCTTTCTTTCTTTCTTTCTTTCTTTTACCTTGGTTTTTACCTTGATTTTTATATTGATTGGACTGCCGAGTGGATTTCTTTCTTTCTTTCTTTCTACCTTGGCTTTTATACTGTTTAGACTGTCAAGTGAATTTCTTTCTTTCTACTTTGCTTTTTATAATTATTAGATTGCCAAGTGGTTTTCTTTCTTTCTTTCTTTCTTTGCTTCTTTCTTTCAATCTTTCTTTCTTTCTTTCTTTCTACCTTGCCTTTTATACTGATTGGACTGCCAAATGGATTTATTTGTTTATTTTCTTCCTTCCTTCCTTCCTTCCATCCTTCTTTCTTTCATTCTTTCTTTCTTTCTTTCTTTTCTTCCTTCTTGTTTTCTTTCTTTTAATTCCTCTTCTTCACTTTCTTTATCACCCTTAGTCTTTTTGCCCTTATTCATTTTCCTCTCTCTGTCTTTCTAAGCCTAACACCGTGGACTTTTCTGTTTTTCACAACACTCATTTTCGCAAGTACTTGTCTCATTTCCCTGACGTGGTCTTTCTTCTTTTATTCACAATATTCTCTCTCCCTTTAACAACCTTTCTTTAATACGACCCCCACCCGTTCTCATCCTCTTTGCATACTTCAAACTAGACCTTGATGTCGAACACAAGGACCCTTAAACTATGCCCGCTCGTATTGGCTGATGGCTGCTGTCTTGTCATCTTCCGCAAGCCTCGCTTTCATTATTTGTTTGTTCGTCTGCTTCTCTTCAGACGTGAGCTCCAGTAAACGATGAATTAATGGATTCCTAAAACGAGAGGTATTTTTACAGTAATTTGTATCTTGTTGTTGTTGTTGTTGTTGTTGTTCTTCTTCTTCTTCTTCTTCTTCTTCTTCTTCTTCTTCTTCTTCTTCTTCTCTTACTTTTACTGCCCATTCTACTTACTCACCTTCCTTTTCTTCTTTTTCGTCTTCTTTTACGTTTTTCTACATGTCATTTTTTTTCTATGCGTCTTTGTTTAATTTTTGCATGTTCGTGTAGTTAAAATTACATAAACGTTAAAAAACGGAATCTAAGAGACGCATTCCGTTTTTAAATATACAAAGGAAGTCATGTGTATATATATATATATATATATATATATATATGTATGTATGTATCACTTTCGCCACCAGTCCTAGAAGAAACATTTGGGTTACTGCTAAACAAATAACATAATGGTTAAACATCGAAAAACATTAGGAAGATTAATTCCTTTTAATAATATGTGGAAATATCCACTCTTTGCCTGATAAAGATCGCGAGACGGGAAACACGTGTAGCAAAAAAATATGAAAAATAAAGTACATTATATATTTAAAAAAATCAACATTATAAACAAAAACCTTTTGCGGTTTCTCTCTTTTTTTAAAATATACACTTTTCTATCTTTGAAACAACTATAACCTCTCTCTCTCTCTCTCTCTCTCTCTCTCTCTCTCTCTCTCTCTCTCTATATATATATATATATATATATATATATATATATATATATATATATATATATATATATGCCATTGTCCCAAAAGTTTTGGGAAAAATACGTCAAATAATTATACACCTTTATTTTATTAAGTGGAGATTGTTTAGCCGTATGATTTTATAAGTAGTGTGTTTGGGCATTGAACATTGAAACATGTAACCGAATGTACACCGCTTTAAGCAGCTTGAACTAATAAAAGATCTGAGATGATAAAGTCATGATAATATGCAAATCTCTAAGTAGCAATTGTGCCATGATATTAACAGGGGTGTAAAGAGTCTTGGTAAGACATTGTAGTTGAACATTCATTTTCTTTTTTTACGCTAAAATCATTTTCTAAAATTCTTGCTGAAAAAAAATGATGGTTATGGTTTTCAAGAGAAGATGTCTCAACCGGACATAGTTAAGCGGCTTCGAATTTCTAGAAACAATGTTCAAATAGTCCAAAAGAACTTTGCAAGGAAGTTGAAGTGTTTTAAGGGCAAAGAAATACGGAAGACCACAGAAGTTAAACAAGAAAGATGGAAGAACAATTGTGGTTGGCAATCCGAAATTAATAGACAGGCAAGTGAGGAATGGTTTTTCATTTGTTTTTTATTGGAACCTAGAAAGGCTTACTGAATGAAGAATGACTAAAACGGAGGTTGAAAATGAAATGGTAATTTTTATAACATCAACAAAATACAATACTCGCCAGCGGCCTGAAGTAGGTAAACCACTTTTATTGGTGAACTACTTAAACAGAATATTACCCTCACTTACAATAGTATCCAACATATTTATGAGGATTGGGACATATCCATTAGTGTTCATAGGTACAGTATATAACATTTTGTTTTACGGCATATCAACCTCAATGGGTTATTTAATGCCGACAAGATTTTTATTACTAGTAATATTTTTTCCCAAAAAATGTATGACTGGTAATAATTTTTTCCCTAAAAATGTATTGCTGGTATTTTTTTTTTCTAAAAATATATTGCTTGTAATAATTTTTTTCCAATTTGTTATGGTCCGATTCTTTGTACCACGGTGATAGTCCAAGGTAGAACCAATAAAGAAGAACTCGAACACAGGTATGGAATAACACAGATATATTACAAACAGGAATATATACAGAGAAGTAGAAGTGTTAGTACGAACAATCAGGTTTAGTAGTAATTGTCTGAACGCGACTCTCTTTCGGACTGCCTCTGACTCGACTGACTGACTCGCACGCTCTGACTGACTGACAGACTTCTGACGGACCTCACTCCAGACTTCAGACTGAACGGTATTTAGTCACCCGCCCCCTCGAGAGCATCATGTGGCACAAGTCCAGTTTAACGCGGGCTCAGCCAAAAACATGCCCTATGAACCCGTTTAAACGGGTTCAGGGTAGGTTTACCTCCTCGAAAGAGACTCCGCCCTTCGGTGTAGCCTCGTTCGGGTTCCGAAGGCAGAGTTCAACCGATCAGCCGGTCAGCCGGTCGCCCGACTTCGGGCTGAACTCGCTGCTTCCTCTTGAGGTGCAGTATTTATTCCGTCCATTATGTTATTATGGGTAAGGTCCCATAATACAATTATATATTGCTGTTTTTTTAACCCCTTTCTTTTGGTGGTTGGGCTAGCTATTTGCCCATAGCTACGACCCTAACAGGTGCTACTTCCCGCGGCAGGATGGACCTGGGAACAGCAGAAATTAAGAAGTGGTTTTACAATCCTCAAAAACTCCTGATCCCAGGCTTGTTGCCTGATATAGGTTATCGTCATAACCAGGAAAAAGTGAGGAATGACTGTAATCTTAACAGTGAGCTTCCAGTGCGCAGCATATTTCGAAAATGAAACTTAAACGGATGTATAGCAGCAAATACACCATTATTAACCAAAAAGCATCGGAGTAGAAGATTGAATTGATAAAAAAACATAGAGCAAGGAATACGAAAAAGTGGCTTTTAGTATTAGTTATCGGCCAGACATATCTTACCGACTATTTTGTGTTAGGAAAAATAACGTGTTTTAGCCTTCCAGTAGTATACCGAGTACTAATATTAGCACTAACACTGAATACGAATATAGAAAGATGAAATACGCGAGCGTAACAAACAAAACATTTAATAAGGAAAACAACTTACGTACATATATTAAAAAGATTTGCATCAGTCCCAAAACAAATGATTGTCCATATTGTCCCAAAGGAACGAAGAGGTTTAAAGAACGAGAACAAAGAAATAACATACAAACTTTATGGCCTTTGATCGTCCGCAGATAAGTGAATAGTAATTACTTTTTTCTTTCGCTAGGCCGTGCACATGTTGACCATTTTCCACATGTGTGGACACCCTGGTGGTCAGGAAGGTCAAGAGGCCATACCTAAAAAAAAAACGGAAGCAAAAACTAAAAAAAAGACAGAAGAGTTCTCCTCTCTAAAGGGGACGAACTCCCATGAACTCAACCCAAGGGAAAACAACTGTGGTCTCTCCACATGGCAAAAATTAATTTTAATGTTCAATAGAAAATACAGTTACATTCTGATGTAATGAATATGCATACACCTGGGTTCCCCCTCACAGTAATATGATTGGCTGGTGTCAGCCATAAATACAGACTGATGTGGAGGTACAAAGCCGACGCCTATTGCCTACGCCTATTGCCTACGCCTATTGCCTACCACTACGACTAGGACCAGTCTATTACGGTTACCTGCTAGATTGTCCTACCCGGTTACAGTAGTCAACAAACCCTTTGCTACTTCGAACAAATATATCCCTTTCCGGGACATATCACTTATTTACATCCCCCCACCCGAAGCGTTAGTCAGCTATCACAATACTCAACACGCGTTCTTCACTTCCCAAATAAAAATTTTATCTTTCGTTCTTTTTCTATTCCAATGCGCCTTTGGTGTCAAATTAATTATGAATACTGTCCAAATGTTTTAAAATGTTTACAGTAGATAGTTTAAAATATCGAGGTTTGTACTAATAGTTTTAATACTTATTTCATGAAAACTCTCGACAGCACCATACTTATTGATGTAATGAATATGCATACACCTGGGTTCCCCCTCACAGTAATATGATTGACTGGTGTCAGCCATAAATACAGACTGATGTGGAGGTACAGGACGACGCCTATTGTCTACGCCCATTGTCTACGCCTATTGCCTACCACTACGACGAGGACCAGTCCATTACGGTGACCTGCTAGATTGTCCTACTCGGTTACAGTAGTCGAAAACCACTTTGCTACTTCGAACAAATATATCCCTTTCTGGGACATATTACATTCTAATGCAAGAGAATATATAAGAACTGATGGAGGAAGAAACAATGCAAAGTAATGTGCCAAAATGGTAAAATTTAATAGAGAACAGGAAATGGTGTGGGATTACATCAATGCGATAGTAGAAGGAAATTGGTAAAAGTTGATGGAAACTTAAACAGCGAAAACTATATTAGTTTACTATAACCTAATCTTTTGCCATGCTACAAAGATGGGGAATTTTTTCAGCATGACGGTGGTACTTTCTACACACCACGTGCGACAAAAAGGTTTCTTGTGGATGAAGATCTTTACATTTTGGAGGAATGGCCTGCACAACGTCCTGATCTCAATATAATTGAAAGATTGAGATGAGAACTGTAGAAATAATTGCTCCGACGAAAACCATGAAGTCTCCAAGAGATTTTGATGTTACTACCAATAAGAAAATCTGGACCTTGTTCCATTCCATGCCACATCGAATTGACGCAATTCTACGAGCCAAAGTCAGCAACACTAATTACTAACTTATTACTCTGACGTTTTATACTTTCTCTAATTATAAAGACCACTTTCTGCCCCAAAATAGCTTTTAACTTAAGAAAAGAGCTGATAGTTGACATTTGCCAGAGGCCCAGTATTTCTGTATGGCTTTTCCAACATCAACCAGTTTAAAAGGGTCGCTTATACACCATTAACAAATACAGTGACCTGAAAACGTACTATGAAAAGCACACTGCTAATCACTCTCGATTTGGGCGTAAAATTAACATAAATAATAATTTACTACGTTGGCCAAATCTTTTTCACGCCAGTATATATATATATATATATATATAT